AAAAGGCCTGGGAAGATCTCTGTTCTTATAATAAAAGAAGTGTTTGGACAGAATTCCTCTTCACTAGTCGGGCACATTGGTGCATACTCATCGTCCCAGCGACTCAGGAGCCCGAGGCCGGAAGCTCACTTGAACCTAGAAGTTCGAGGCTAATCCAGGCAATGTAGTAAGACGACATCTCAAAACAAACACGTTTCTCTTCATTTGGAGAGAGGCATGGTACCTAAAGTAGAAAAAAAGCCTATCTGGGACCTGCCAGCTGGGGTCTAATTCTAGCAGTCACCTTCCAGATGCATGACACCCTACAGGCTGCTTAGCTTCTCTTCGCCTGGTCCTGCATCCATTCAGAGGGTGGTAGCATCTTCTAAGATTGTTTTGAACATCAAACAGTAGGAAAGGGTCTGGTACATGGTAGCAACATAATACATGTCTATTTCTGTCCCAGCTTTTGAAATATTGTCTTCCCCAAATAGATTCCAAAGTTTGCTATCATCCTTTGGAATCTGGGTTGAGGGAATGTGATGTGCCAATCCTCATTGGCTGTGTGGCTGGGAAGCCTTGTGTGCAGAGAAACAGGGTGTAGTCCAACTTTCTTTTGGGACCACCACCCCACAAATAATGACACAGAGATGTATTATTAATTATGAAAGCTTGGCCTTTAGCTTATGCTTGTTCCCAACTAGCTCTTATAACTTAAATTAACCTGTTTCTGTTCATCTATGTTCTGCCACATACTTTTTTTTTTTTTAAACCATTTATTTATTATGTATACATTGTTCTGCCTGCATGTCAGAAGAGGGCACCAAATCTCATTATAGATGGTTATGAGCTACCATGTGGTTGCTGGGAATTGAACTCAGGTCCTCTGGAAGAGAAGTTAGTGCTCTTAACCTCTGAGCTATCTCTCCAGTCCTGCCACATGGCTTTTTACCTCCCTCCCATTTTGTAAGACCAACTTGCTCGGCACCTCACTAGCATCTCTCGCTCACCTAGATTCTAACCCTCTGAGTTCCTGTCTCTGCCCGGAAGTCCTGCTTATTCTCTCCTGCCTAGCTATTGGCCATTCAGCTCTTTATTAAACCAATCAGAAGGTGCCTTAGATTGAGACCCATCTTTACAATATACTAACAGATTATTCCACAGCAGCAGGGAGGTGGAAATGGGATTTCAGGTGGCACCAGGTTCCTGCTTGATGCAGGGCCCTCCAGCATTGGGGCCATGTACTTTCCTTTCCACCAGAATGAATTAAGCCTGAGCACCTCAGTAGCTCAGCCTCACCCAGAAAAATCAATAGGGCTTCCCTGTGTTGTGCAACATGTAAGTTCCTGAAAAGTCAGAGGTAAATCAACCTCCCCTCCAACTTAACCTGTACTGAGCACCAGATGTCAATTCAGCACACTGCTGAGGCTATGCGGGACATGTGCTCACATCCACACCCACACTCCAAATCAGTGATAATTCTGGCTTCTAACTCATATTGCCAATGTACCCAAGGAGCTGGCACCATGTGGTAGGCATTGTTATAGAGCCAACATCACCATTTAACCGGGAAGAATTACTTCCTGCTTGCATCCTATTGACTAATACATTTTATTCTTTGTCTTGGGTTTTCATGTAAAGGCCTTTTGAATTCTGGCCTATGGCAAGCCTTCATAATCCTGCTCACCTCACAGTCATGTACAAGCCAATTACCCCAAAGCACTTTTCATTCTTCTATTTGTTTCCCTTGCAGGGAAAGAAAAGCAAGTCTTTCTTAGACCCTTTTCACAGGTGAGGCAATCAAGATATAAAAAGTGCAGTTGACTTGGCAGGTCAGTGCCTGAGAAGCCGGAGCGAAGTTCAGTCCAGACTTGGAGCCCCAGGACCAAAATCAAGACAACCTCTCTCCCTTGTCTCTTGCCCTACCAGATGGCAGGCTCTGCCAGTGGTCTGTGTGTCCATTCCTGCACACACAGCTTCAAAGCTTACGTTCCTGCTCCCCCCCACCCCCCAGAGCTGAGGACCGAACCCAGGGCCTTGCGCTTGCTAGGCAAGCGCTCTACCACTGAGCTAAATCCCCAACCCAAGTTCCTGCTTTCTTGGGCCATCTACAGCCTCTCGTCTTCTAGGCCTCTGTGTTGAACTCTGAAATGTGTCATGGAGTTTTCAGCCCTGTCTCTGCCCAAATGTTTGTTTTTTTTTTTCCCCCAACAGTCTCTTATCATCTGCAGCCCCTGTGGGTGACCCTCATTCCATGCACACTTGCTGAACCCCTCTTTTTGTGACAGACCTTGAGCTGGGACCACAGTGAATCAATAGGGTTTGACCTCTCTCTTTCCTGGGAGTGTGGCTCAGTGGAAAGGGTCGCAGGAGATGTGACTTCACAGCACCTGGATGCCATTCACACCTCTGCTGCAGCCGCTGGGGAAACATGGGTGATCTCCCAGGACGAGTTGGAGCTCATCAGCTTCGAAGAGGGAGAAAGTTCTGGTGGGGGGGAACATCATGGGCGACGGTGCAGAGGTGTGAATTGGCAGGTGTGTTTGGGGCCCCGGCCAGGACCTGGCATGGGTAGGACAGTGAGCAGGAGATGAGGAAGACAGTCTTGAAATTGAAGGGGGACCTGAGTGAAGTTCTACTTTTCGATTATGGGTTGTGGATTTTTCTCTGTGAGTCCTTAGTGTTCGGCCAGGGCCTGATGTGATCGGGTTCAAATTTCCAGAGTTACTTAAAAAAAAAAAAAAAAAAGAATTAAGGGAGTAGAGGGCAGCTTTACTTTGTGTATGCCTGTAACCCCAGCGCTTAGTAGGTACCCTGACACATAGTAGGTATTTGCTGTTGGCTGAAAGGATGGTTTCATGGCTCAGAAGCTCACTGAAGCAATTCAGTATACAGCCTCACACCGAGATGGGGGCAGGCAGAGAAGGGGGTGCACGAGGAACCAGAGTTCAGGTCAACAAGTTTAGTAGAATTTAATACGGGGAACTGGTTCCAAAGGTATTGGAGAAGCAGGAATAAAATATGCAGAACAAAGAAGCGTGGTGCTGAGGGTGACTCAGAATTTAACATCAGGAAGTTGCTGTCACCCCAGGACTGGAGGACAAGGTGGTGTCACCGGATCCCAGGAGCCAGAATCCTCACAGTGAGAGTTGGGCCCATGAAGAGAGGGTGCCGCGGGGCTGGGCTCCCCAGCAGGGACTCATTTTGGAAATGAGAAACAGAATGCCGGAAGTGGAAGGCAGGGAAGGAGCTGGATGGGGCAGGAGGAATGGCTGGGCTCACGGCAATCTAAGAAGAGGCTTCAGCTGCCTCCAGCTGGGAACTTGGAAACTGGGAACGCAGAGGTGGTACAGGCCCTGGCAAGAGGGCCCGGGCATTATCCATCCACCAGAGAGACACTGGAATGTGGACCTTCTGTGAAGGGCAGCGTGACTCTTTTCAGTCACAGCGGTTTCCAAAAGAGCTTCTTGCAGCAACCAGGAAGGAAAATCCAGTCTCAAAAACGATGAATGTGGGGGATCATCAAAAAACAGGCTGCTAAAGCGGGATGCCCCAAGCAGGGAGAACTATGTCTCCTGGTAATTCTCCTCTGCCTCCCACCTGCTCATGGTCTTCCAGAGCCTCCCACTGGTCATACTAGGCAAGAGAGCACTGAGTTTTTGAAGGCCATCCCAGGGAGCTGAGCAGGGTAGGGGAGGACATATATTTAGCTGAGGTGTCATGGAACAATGATGGTCTGTGGAGACTTAAAAGGGAAGGTACAGCATTCAGGTTAAGATGCCCAGAACCATACTGGGTTCATCATCCAGTAACAGACGCCCAGCTGGCAGCTTAGAAAAATCTTTAGATTCCTGCAGGAGAGAATCTGGCCAGGTAGAAAACCTCCTGATGTAGAGAAACTTCTTAAACATACGTGGTCCCAACAACCTGTGAAGATTCAGCTCCCTGCTTTCCTGGGAGCTGCCCGGCCTTTCTGTACATCCCGCCCCTCGTGGCCAGCCACTGTTCACAGCTCTCCTCTGAGCAGCGCTCATAATCCCAGGACCAGGGCGCTGCCTGCAGATAGAGGCTTCCCTAATGGTTCCTTTCTCCGCAAATTAGAGTCTCTTCTGAGACTCCATGAGTGCACAATACGCTTGTGTGCTTCACTTAGCCTTTGAAGGAGGAGACGCAGGAGACCACAGCAAGGGGGTTAAGAGTTCTAGGCTTCCGTTTCCTCAACAAATGGGGCAAAGAGTAACCGTGTAAAGTGAGCGTAGAACTGAAGTGCAGCAACGTGTGCAAAGTGCTAAGAACAAGGAGGCTGTCCCCCTCCCCCCCCCGCCCCCTCCCAAGACCACGACTGATGCCAACTATCATTACCGTTTCAATTTAAATCTTCTAATCCCCAGCGTCTAGCCCTTGGAGATGCTTAATTAGCGTTTGTTGAATGGTTGGAGAATTAATAATGAAAAGGATTTATTCTTGGGCTTGACCTGGTTTTAGAAAATTAATTATTCAGCATAAGTACAAGAAAGGACTTTGATAATAGGTATCTATGCTGAGTGAGGATCCAGGGACTCCAAACTGACCTGGTTTGCGAAAGGGGGAGGAGAGGGGGAATACAACACAAAAACACCCAACAACACAAAATGTGACTGCAAGCTGTTTCCAGAGAAGGGTAAGCCAGTTTCAAGAGCACCAACTAATGCTTCATGAACGCACACACACGACCTTGTCCGGATGCGGGTAGTTATCTATCCTTGGCGGTGGATAGAATGACCAGTACCCCAATACCCTGGACCGCACCGGAGCCCTAGACCCTAGGGCGTGTACGGAGGTAGGAGGGGACAGGAATCTGGCGGCTGCCACGTGGGCCCCTTCCGCCAGTTCCCCACATCCTTTGTTTCCCACCGGCCGGAGCTCAGGAAGCTCTTTCAGCGAGTCACTGCGAAGGGGCGGCCCAGGAGCCTGGAGAAGCTATTTCCGTGCTATCCGGGCGGGCGGCAGGCGCGGGAGGGGCGTGGAGGTGGAGGCAGAGCAGAAGGCCCAGTGTTTGCTTTTATTTCATCCAACAGAAGGTTCTATTTGTGGAAGCGAACAGACGCTGGGGATTAGAGCTGGGAGGAGGCAGGAAAAGGAAAAAAAAAAAAAGCCACATTCACTACCACGCACAGGTCTTCCCCGGAACTACCGCGTGGGGGTGAATGACTGATAATGGAATTCATCACCTTTCCTCTCGCCCCTTCCTCCGGCTGTAGCCGCGACTCGGCGGCGCCCACAGCTCCACCGGGAGCTCCCCAAGTGCAAAGCCGCGGGGAGGTCCCACCGGAGTAAAGGCGTGACCGCTGGGTTGCAGCCAGCTGCCGGTGCGGAGCCCGGAGGTGCGCGAGCCGGCCGGCAGCTCGAGATCCATTGTGTTGTGTGAATGATGAGCGCGCACCAATCAGCAGTCGTTTCGCCCCCGCCGCCCCGCCCCTCCCGCCCACTTCCCCGGGACCCTGACGTCACGGGAGCTTTTCCTCCGCCCCCTCCTTCGGCTACCAGCGCGGAGCCAGCGGGCTTGCGGTAGGGTGCGCGCAGCCTGCTGCCCAGCCTAGCCCGGGGGGCGTGTGTGCGCGCGCCCTAGACTGCCCAGGACGGTCCCACCTGCGCCCAGGCGTGCGCTGTTGGGAGCATCCCCAGGCCTCCGGCCACCCCCACTGTCCCAGCTTCCAACTCCATTACCCCTCCCCCCCTAGTCTCCTCCCTCCGCTCCAGTGACTGTGAGCCGGGCGACGGGGCCCGGAGTCGTCGCAGCCACCTCATTGCACAACCCGGCTTCCCAACTGTTTACACAGCCCGGCCTGTGAGTGTGTGTGTGTGTGTGTGTGTGTGTGTGTGTGTGTGTGTGTGTGTGTGTGTGTGTATACAGCGTGAGTCACTGGGAGGCGGAGGAGGTGGAGGAAAAGGAGAAGGAGTGCACTGGCCGGGATCAGTGCGGCGCACACACTCTTATTCAGTCACTCTCTCTGAGCGCGTCTCGCTCGCTCACACGCCGGGAGCCCAGGAGCGCGCAGGATCCCGAGCGGCGCGGAAAAAGTTGTGCCGGCTTTTACTCCAGACTAATTGCTTTGGGAAGTGCGTTTGCTCTCTGAAACCGCCGAGCCTGCGGAATCCTGTCCTCAAGGCTCAGCACCCGGGAACTCGGGACGCCTCCACGTCCTGGACTATTCACAGCCTCGGCAACAATAGCTGCCCCCGCCGCCAGCGAGGCGCCCAGACCTAGTGCCTGCGGGGGTCTGGGGACCCCAACCGGCCTCCCGGGCTCAGACGTGTGGCCAGCGTGGTCCTCGTGTGCAACCCCAGCGTACTGGAACGCCTCTCGTTTTGCTCCTCTTGGGGGCCGATCCAAGCTCCATCTGCAAACTCCATCCCGAGGGCTGGAAGAAGTCGCCGCGCGGATCCGGGGATTTACAAAGCCGGGGCCGCTCCGGCCAGGGCCGCGATGCGGGTCGGTCCCGTGCGCTTTGCACTCAGCGGCGCCTCGCAGCCCCGCGGTCCGGCTCTACTGTTCCCGGCTGCCCGGGGTACCCCGACCAAACGCCTGCTGGACGCGGACGACGCGGCGGCTGTGGCGGCCAAATGTCCGCGCCTCTCTGAGTGCTCGAGCCCCCCAGACTACCTCAGTCCCCCGGGCTCGCCCTGCAGCCCGCAGCCTCCGCCCTCCGCGCAGGGGACGGGCGGCAGCTGTGCGAGCGCACCCGGGCCCAGCCGCATCGCCGACTACCTGCTGCTGCCCCTAGCTGAGCGCGAGCATGTGTCCCGGGCGCTGTGCATCCACACCGGCCGCGAACTGCGCTGCAAGGTAAGCATCCTGGGGAGGGGGTTGCGGGCCTGGGTGGTCTACAGAAGTGCTTGGGTTCCGGGCCACCCGGATCACGCTCCGGCCAGCGCTTGGGTTTGGCAGAGCAGATTAAGGGCGTTGAGTCGGATAAGGAGGCATTTTGGTCAGCTTCGCCTTTTTGGAGGTAGAGGGGTTTCCTGTGGAGTGTTAATGGTGAGGGTTCGGCGGTCTAGAGGAAGTGCAGGGTTCAGTTCTTTTTTATCTCTGTTCTGTTCTTTGGCGCTCAGTGTAGCTAGCGCGTGGCGTTCCATTTAAGTTTGGAATTGCAATGGATTCCAGGGCCATGCCATTGCCCTGCTCTCATCCCCCCCCCCCCTGTCCTGGAAGGACGCCCTGCAGTGGGTGCCTCCTCGGGGCTTGGCGCAACCGGCCAGCTCTTTGCCGGAGGTTCATGGCTTAGGCTCTGTGTAGACGGTGTCAGGCTTCTACCGAGGGGATTCTTAAATTCCCTCTGGAGCTAGAATACAGCCCACCCAGGGGAGCAGTGGGACGGGGTGTGTGTGTGGGGGGGTGCTTAAGCTTGGGAGGGGCTTCAGACCTGCGTAGGAGTGTGAAAAACTCTCAGGGGCTCGCTTCCACTCGTTTTAGTTTGCGACCGACAATTTTCATTGCAATATTAGATACGGGATGGCCCGGCTCTCCTAGAGAATGTGTAGTCGAGGGCGCTTTGTGAGCCTGACACTCACACCTCCGGCCCACCTTCAAGTCCACCGACTCCTTTCATTCTCCTGGCGTTAAAGTAGCTCCTGGGTTTTCAGCCACTCACCTGAACCCCCCCTTCCCGCTTGCTGCTGCCACCTACTGTCCACCCGCGTGAACTCTCAGATGCGTGGTCAAGCCCAGAGAAAGAAACTCTTTTCTTGGTGGATGAGAACAGTTTTGGGAGAGAAACTTGTGTGGCGGGGTGGATGGGGCGCAGGGAGAGGGCAGCAGAGGGATTTTTTTTTTTTTACCCCCAGTTGGTACCAGAGCAGCCACCTCAGAGGTGGGGTGGGTCTGGGACATTGTGCAACCCTTCCAGTTCCTCCGAGCAGATAATAGCTGAATCCAGATGGTGACAGCCCGTGTGTCACCATTTCCAGTTGCGTCTAGGATATGAGTAACCGGACTGAACAAAAGGCCCTTAAAGAGACCAGCAGCTTCTCAGAGGATTTGCTACCCATTCTGGGGGGTGGGGCAATAGGGTGGGGGGGGCGTGTAAACAAACATGAAAAACGGCCTTTCAGAGGTGCCCATCCCCTCCTGTAAGAAGGTAACTCCAGGCTGCTTCCACCTGAGTCACAACCATAGGCAGGTTGCTTAAGGCTGCCCTGTCAGTCTGTCCCTCCCAGTCATCGGTTCCTTCTGACTAATGACAGCTCCTCATGTGGGCTGCCTCTGCTTCCCCTTGGAGGCTACAAAGTCACCACATTCCTTGACTGTGCCGTGCTGAGCCTTCTGGGTTTGCAGGAGGCACATGCAATGTGTAACTGTTGCTGTTCACCCTTAGGGATGCTGGGGGTACATTCCATCAGCTACATAATGTACACGAGCATCATCTGTTAGGAAGAGCCAGATCAGGGAGCTGGGCTTGGCTCCCAGGAGCTGATGGCCCCTACTAGACAGAAGCATGTGTAGAAGGTGGTTCTTCTAATCATCCTACTTTGGAAGTTGCTAGCCCAGATCGTGGTGTGACTGGTTTCAAGGGTATCATAGCAGCTGGAGCTATGGTGGAGAGAACGGAGTATCCAAAGGGTGAACCCTTCAGTGTAGCTTCATATGGGGGACCTGGGAGGCAGGCAGCCCCTGACTTTCTGTCCCTTAAACAGGTCACTTTCTCTCTGCAGGTGTTTCCCATTAAACACTACCAGGACAAAATCAGGCCTTACATCCAGCTGCCATCGCACAGAAACATTACTGGCATCGTGGAAGTGATCCTCGGGGAGAGCAAGGCCTATGTCTTCTTTGAGAAGGACTTTGGGGACATGCACTCCTATGTGCGAAGCCGGAAACGGCTTCGGGAAGAGGAGGCCGCTCGGCTCTTCAAGCAGATTGTTTCGGCCGTGGCTCACTGCCACCAGTCGGCCATTGTGCTGGGGGATCTGAAGCTTAGGAAATTCGTCTTCTCCACGGAGGAGAGGTGAGCAGCTGCCACAGCACCTCCTGTGGCCTTTTGGAACCGAAAATAAAATAAATAATAAAAAAAATAAAGGTACAGGTCACGCAGTTAGGTAGGTGCAAGCCGAACCCCAGGGCTCAGGTCTCTCCTGGTTTAGTATTAAGTCCTGCTTCTGGAGACTCACGGTCAAGCTTGGTTCATTCTCTGCTCTATTGGATGGAGTGTAGCGAAGCCTAGAGACACCTTGGTGCTTTTATGGGTACTGCCCGATGACCAGATGCCCCTTCCTGCTTCTGTCCCTGGCTCAGGCTTATTTCCTCTTGTCAGAAAGGTCAGACTTCTGGGGGTGGGGTGGGGAAAGATGTTCACCTGTCCTGGAATATATTGACTGCAAGAGGTGGTCAAATCCTTGCTCCCATCAAGTGGCTGTCCTGTACCTAGAAGGCATTACCGAGCGAGTTAGGCTGTTGTGTTTGCAGAATTCCAGCCATCCCTACCACACTGCATTCTTGCTCTATTTCAGCCTGGGCACCTCTCCTCCCCCCCCCCCCCAAGCCCCACAATAGTTTGCTCACATTCTCTGGTGAGTTTTTAGTCATCTCGTCAGCTCCATCTTCAGAAAATAACCACATTGAATAATAAATGGAAGTTGGCTAGCATGCACTGCTAAATATAGCCCTTGGCTTACCTCATAAAGGACGAGATGTGCTCGATAAGGGAATAAATAAGGAGACATGAAGATTTGAAGAGGAGGTTTCACCAAGAGAATTCAGGAAGCTGTGCGAGATACATCATACTTCATCCTGTAGACAGTCTGCCTCTGTGGTAGGAAGATGGAGACTGGAGGATTGTCCTGTGGGAGTGAGTTACTTTGCTGAATATAGTGACCCAGGGCTTGCCCTACCTGTTCACTTTTACCTTTAACTCCAGGGCCCCCTAAAAAGTCCTCAGAGTCTGGGTTTGTATCTGACCTCGCACTAACTATTGAAACATACCGATTAGCAAAGAGGAGCAAACTGTTTGCCATGAAGAAGTGTCCAGTTCCTGGAACGTGCTTCTTTGATAATAATGGTGATGCTTTTTTTTTTTTTTTTGAAACATGTGCTACACACCTCCTCACTGGCTTTTGAAATCTGCATTGCACAGGCCAGTGTCATGGGCATAGGGTTTGGTAACCCGAGGGTTAAGCAACGGCAGGCTGACGCTATTCATGTAACCAGCACAGGTGCAGGGTTTTAGTGCTACAGGAGCCAATCAGAGGCAGACAGGGTGGGTTGAGTCATATTTTCCGTTTACAGAACCAATGGGTATTTTACATAACACGGAGGTCATGCTGAGGACAGACCGAAGTTAGCACATGTATACTACACTCCAGGGAACAGGAAGACTGGGACAGGAAAAAAAAAAGAAAGAAAGAAAGAAACCACCAGACCTTTGAGAGGAAAAGGAATTGACCAAATGTTTGCATGTAACTTCACAACAAGTGACTTACAGAAATAGGCCTGTTTCAGAGAAGCAGGCACCGGATATTAGAGGTGCCCCACGTGGCTGTGGGGGAGCTAGGAGATGTGGGTGGCTGGTTCTCTATAAGGAGGCACCTGCAGCTTCGTAAGAGTTCCTTTGACTGAAGGTCTTCTAGACTGTAGTTTCTTTCCGTTATAGGCTAGGTTTCTGTTCTTTCCTTCACATTCATTCTCCAGTGACTTCTTCCACGATGATTAGCCACAAAACAGAGACTCTCACATAGGATAAAGTGTACGTGGATCTGCAGCCCTGGGGTGTTCAGGGGCCCTGTGGTCCTCCGATCCATCAGCCTCTTGTGTTTCTTCGCGTAACATCTCTATCTCGGCTACGTGTTTTTTAACAGTGACACAGCCTGATAAATCTAGTTACGCCTTCCTTGCAACTTTCCCATTGTGGTTATTGCAGCCGGGACTCGGGTGAACAAAGTTTCCTTGGTGTGGGCAGTAGTGTCGACTGGTGTGGGCAGTCAGTGTTATGGTAAGAGACTAGTGGCCTGTAGGATACAGAGGCCCTACCCGAGGAAGGAGGATACATACATACGCGTGCTCCTCCCTGACAGCTTTTGTAGAACACGCCAGTCTTCCTCTGAAACCAGCTCTCCATTCTGCAGTGTGAGCTCTGGCCATTGTGTAACCCTATTAGGATATCTCGTACAAGCTCCAGCATCATGAATATTATTTGAGACTTTGCATCATACCCCTCCGCCCCGGGCGCTCTCAATACTTTGCAAATATTTATTGCAGTTTGTATTGGTTTGTGAAATCGCTAGTCTTGGGTGCTTGCAGGCCCGGCGCTTAACTAGATGAAGGGGTAAATGACATTCCTGTGGCCTTGGCTGTTAGTGCCTGTGGGCACTGTTATTGGGAAGGCCTTGCTTTTCCATAGCAGCTGGTCTGAAAATAATCGCTCAATTTCTCTCCCACAGAACCCAGCTTAGATTGGAAAGCCTGGAAGACACACACATAATCAAGGGTGAAGATGATGCGCTGTCGGACAAACATGGCTGCCCAGCCTATGTGAGTCCCGAGATCCTCAACACTACTGGGACCTACTCTGGAAAGGCAGCGGACGTTTGGAGCCTCGGGGTGATGCTCTATACGCTTTTGGTTGGACGATACCCCTTTCATGACTCAGACCCGAGTGCCCTTTTCTCCAAAATCCGCCGTGGACAGTTCTGCATTCCTGAGCATGTTTCCCCCAAAGCCAGGTGCCTCATCCGCAGCCTCCTGAGGCGAGAACCTTCTGAGAGACTCACAGCTCCCGAGACCTTACTCCATCCCTGGTTTGAATATGTTTTGGAACCAGGGTATGTTGACTCAGAAACAGGAAGTTCGGACCAGATTGTTCCTGAGTACCAGGAGGACAGTGACATTAGTTCCTTCTTCTGCTAATCCCAAAAAAAAAACCCTCAGAAACCTCATAATTCTCACACATGGCATTTCCATTTCTAATGCTGGGCAGGCCCTCTTACACGGTGCAGCCCAGATTTGGAGATGGAGCACAATTGTCCCTATGGGTCTCGGTGTGTGCCACCTCTCTGGGCTGAGTGATCGGATGTGAGCAGCACACACACAGATGAGCTGCTCTGCAAAGGTGTCCCCTCCTCGATGAACCGTGACGACTGTCCCAGCGTCAGACACAAGAGTGTCACATGTTTTGAAGCTAATGGAAGAGTATGGCCATCCCGCATAGTCAGGTGTACTTGAACATTTGAATGGGAAAGGAAGCCCATCGCACAGTGGCATTTTAACGAGGTGGCCAATCGGTTGGGGTGACAAACCCATTGAACTTGTCTTGGAAGGCTCCACTTGCTGCTGCGGTTTCTCTGACCAGAAGTTTGTCTCTCTTCTCTTTTTTTTTAACCCTCATTCTTGCTGTACACTCAGCTATGATTGCTCCAGGGTCGGAACAGACTGAAAAGCTCCGGAGCCTGCCTGAACCCCGACTCTTCCCCCCAAGAGCTTGCCAAGACCTCCTATGCAATAATGTTGCCCCCCTCCCCGCACCGTGGAACCTGTCCTCTGCAGCTGTGGAAGCACTCTGCGGCTAATGGTGGGAAACTATTGGGAGATTCAAACTCCTGGCTGTTTCAGCACACTTGAGCTCAGTCGGGCAGCAATGTTTTAATTTGATCACTTGCTATCTATTAGCTCTTGAGGCTCTCGTCAAAGATAGCATTTAGCCTTTACCCCTCGCCCCAAGACCATCTCGGGGCGGAACATTTTGTGTATGAGGACAAGGGTGAAGAGACTCCCCACCCTGCTCTCTCAGGAGCATATATGAACCAACCATCTTTGGGCTTCAAAGAAAGAAAATCTGAGACAAGTCTTGGAAGATTGTCAGACTAATATTCAGAATGAAACTGAACACCGCCCTCCCCTGGGTATGCTGTGTCTCTGGCATCCAGAGTCTTCAGTTTCCCATCCTGGGCTCTCTTGGACCTTGAGTGTGGTGTGACTTGTGAATCCCTCTGTGATGCTGGCTCTGGAGGGACAGCGAACCTCGAAAACGTAGCTGGAAAGGACTGTAACGTTCATCCGATGCAAACTCTGCCTTCAAGCTGCCTACCAGAAATCCCCCCTGCTTCAACTTCCACAGGTGGGAACCCAGCCTCGGCCCGCAGGCTTCTGGAGATGGAAACTTACTCCTTGCAAGAAAGGAAGCTTCTCGGAGAAGCTGCCGGAAGTTGCATTTACAAAAAAAAAAAAAAACTAAAAAAAAATTTACAGATGAAATAGCAGTCACTGTCTGGGACAGTGCTGAAACCAGGTGGTTTAAACGGGTAACAGAAATACTGTATTTTGAGAAATGGCACAGAAGCAGGCAGGCATCTTCAAGGGCTATGCCTAGGCAGACTACTAACATTGTGAGAATGCCGTGTATACCTCACGTACTGTGTACTTTATATTTGTACATACATTTTACCTTTTATACCTATGTCCAGTTGTTGTCGTTCGGCTCTGAGGCTTGTTTCGTCGTCGTCGTCTGTGTCTGTCTGAGGAACCTGTGTGTCCAGAGCCACGTGAAATGTGAATGGTTGTCAGCAATACGACCTTGACGGGACGGTGGGACCCCGGGAGGAGCAGGGTTAGCTAGGACCTCTCTTAGGGTTACCCAGCTCTTGTGTCTGTGATACGGTCCCTGGCTGAGGACTTGGCTGGCCTGGGCGTTCGCCTGGACAGCGTGGAAACACTAGGTCTCCTGTGCGCGTGTGGAAAGGTGACAGTGTCACACTGTTGCTGACCTGTAGAGAACTTTTAATAAATTTGGTTTTCGTAAAGAAAATGCACTGAGTCTCCTTTGTATGCGCTCTGCCTTCCTGTGGCTGTGCCGGGCCACAAGGACATTTTGGCTTTAGGGTCTCACTGAAGAGAAGAGAATCATACAGATGTGGTTTGGGGTTTTTTGTTTGTTTGTTTGTTTGTTTGTGTTTTTGGACAGAGTCTCATTGTGTATTCCTGGTTGGCATGTAATTTGCTATGTAGACTAGGCTGGCCCTGAACTCAGAGATCTCCCTGCCTCTGGGATTAAAGGCATGTGCTACTATACCTGCCTGGAATCTGCTTTTTTGTGTGTGTCATGGAGCATGCACACTTTAACGGACAGGACCCATTTGCAAAATGGGGTTGGTGGGTGCTGTGGGCTGGGTTGGAAGTGTTGGAGGGGAGTATAACGTGGATTTTTGAATTGAAGAATTGGCTGGCTTTTGACAGGCATGGATGGTTCACATCTGTCTTGTCACCCCAATACTTTGGAAGCTGAGACAGTTCAAGACCAGCCTGGGATGTATAGCAAGAATGTCTCAAAAACAACAAAAAGAATCCTCTGGCTTTTAGTGTTTTAGGTTTAGGGAAATGGAGAAACTATGAATACCTAAGAAGAATGTCACAGGTCTCCAACAGAATTTTACTACCTTCGTTGATCTTGGTAGAGAGAGGGTCATGTAGGTTCCAGAAGACACCTACCCCTCCAACTTTAGACCTAATTATAGTAAGAATCATAACATTTCTTCGCATTCCTGTCCACTCTGTAAGTATAAATATGAAAACAAGGAAAGGCTGCTTAGAAAACATTGGCCTGGGTCATAGAGTTAAGGAAGATGGCTGGACTAGTTTCCTAGCTTCAGTGTGTCTTCAGAATGTCTTAAAGCAAATCAGACTGCTTAGACCTGTGAGCAAGGAGTTGGGAGGGGCTCACAAGTCTCCTCCCCAAGCTGAGGCCCTGCTGATGGTTGGTGGCCCCATGCCCATGGGTAGTGCAAACTGGAATCTGGGCCATTGAAGAAGAAGAGAGGAAGTTGGGAGGGCATCGACGGGACACTGATGGTACAGCTAGGAAGAGGGGAAGAAGTGGGAGGCGAGTGTCATCAAAATACATGCAAGTCCAGTATGCAATTCTCGTAAGTTTATAAAAACACATTTTACAAAGCAAGCAAAGCCACAGGGCTGGGGAAATGGTTCTTTGAAAGTGGGGACCCACTACCAAGCCTGACAACCTTAATTTGATTCCCAGGATCCACCTGGGGAGAGAAGGGAACAGACCTGTAAGTTGTCCTTGACCACCATACCCTGCTGTGTGTAGTACAGGTCACCAGACTCCATGTACAGTGAATTCCCATGACAAAGACAGATCCAGAACCTAGAGCAGGACCTGGGTCCCCTCAGGCTCTGTCCATCCCTGCTTGGCTCTGATTTCCAAGGCGCCCGCTAGGATACACTGTTCCCTGGTTTTTTGTTTTGTTGTTGTTGTTTTTAATCATTTATGTATTTGAGACAGGGTACTACTGTTTTCATCCAGACTGCTTTCAAACCCAGTTCTGTCTCAGCCTCCCGAATGCTGGGATCACAGTGTGGTGGCGTTACCATGCCTGGCTCATGAGATAAGACTTTTTTTTTAAATATGAGATTGTTTTTTGAGACTTTCATACATAAATACTGTATTCACATCATTTCTACTCCTCTTTATCCCCCAGTTCCTCTCGTGTCCCCCTCACTCTCTTCTCAAATTCATGATCTTTTCTTGATTTATTTTTAACATACACATGTGTGTGTATGTACACATAAACCCAACCTGACGAGTTCCTTCCGAGTCGCTCCTCTGTGTGTGTGTTTAGGGCTGACCTCTAAGGATCGGATAGCCCTAGAGAGACTGATTTTCTGGGGAGATAAAATTTTAACTAAACATAGCCGTGAAGCATGACTGCCTGCTCCGGGCCCACATGGAAAACTTGGCGGAATTACCAGGTAGCGCCGCCTTCTTCCCTTTGCCAGCATTAAGCTGGAGGTAAGTTAGAAAAGCAGACAGGCCCATGGCGTCAGAGTCGCTGTAGCGTGGGCCATGCGACTCGGGAACCACAAAGAACGGAGAAAGCACAAAAAGTCAGAAGCCACGTGGGGCGTGAGCAAACGGCTGGGAAGCTGGCCGGGTGAGGTGGTGCATTCCTCTAATCCCAGCACTTTGGGAAGAGGCTGAGGCAAGAGGATCAGGAGTTCAAGGCCAGCCTCAGCTACAATAGCAAGTCCGAGGCCAGGCTGAGCTACATGAGACCCTCAACTCAACCTCTCCAAGAGAGAAAAAAAAATCTATAAAAACAAAAAACGAAAGTAGGAAAGGGCTGGTCCTGGCCTCTCCGAGAACAGGACCTTCAACCCTGAGTTCCCGGAGAACCCAGGACCAATGCTGCAATGCCTCCCTGCTCCAGTGAACCCAGACTGGCTTGGTGCAACTCCTTGGGCACACACAGAGTGAATACTTTGGACTTCCCTAGCTTTAATCTGTGGATTTCAAAACACTGCAAGCAATTAAGGTTACAACACCCCTTTGTACTGTTGTTACATGTATCAGAGAGAAATATGGGTCAGGATTGGCCAGGCTGACATGTGATACCACAGACGCATACATTTAATCTCCTGAGAACAGATGGGGGGGGCACCTGCACCCTGCTGGATGAGAGAAGGCTGCCATGAGTGCCCACTTGCTTTTATTTTCTCTCGTGCCCCTTATGTATTTGACATTGACATTCGAGTAGGTTATGACACCACAATATCATACTATCTATAAGTCTGGAATGGTGTGTGTGTGTGTGTGTGTGTGTGTGTGTGTGTGTGTGTGTGTGTGTTAGCATAGGCTGACACTGAACTCAGTCCTCCTGCCTCAGATCTGTGATGGCTTGGGTTCACAGGTGTGTGCCATTACACCTGGGATTTCTTGAAGTTTTACTCTTTCCCATCACTTTTATTCACCACATCCTTTCTAGAAGTTTCCCTCCTTTTGTATGCACACCAGTTGCGTGAAACTAGGCAAGTCAAATATTTTCCTATCTTATGGCTGAGAAAACGAAGGCTCAAGTGTCTTTCAGGAGCTGCTCAGGAGGAGCCAGCTCATAGCTAGGCTATGAAATTGACCCATTAGACTCCATGCCTACTGTTCTCAGCCCACATACCACAATGCCGTCTCCTGGTAACAAATGACAATGAAAAGTGTTTTTGAAACAAATAATCCAAATGCGGAGTCTTCAGCTCTGTTAGTATCTTCAAAACTGATCTGGTATGTTAGTCAGTAAACATGGAAGCATTAGCCAAAACGAGGGCTCCACCATTCACTCAACAAGCATGTATTATATACCTACCCTGAGCTAGACCCTGTGGTGGCCCTTAGGAAAATGTGGCTGAGATTCAGTGCTAGCTTGTTAGGAGAACTCCAAGTGGCCATGACTGCTTGTCCCTGTCACTTAACACAGTGCCTACCAAAGGGGAAGGTCAAATGCCACGGATGGATGAGAGGTAGATGGATGGAGGGAGACCTTCCAGCCGCTCAGAGCCTAGTGAGAGAACCGTGAGCATCAAGGTAGAGATCGTGGGACCATGGCCTCGTCCCATGTCTGCACACTTGGCTGTTCCTGTTGTCTTTACGCAGGAGTGACGTTGTTTGATTCCTTTGGTCCCTTCTGCTGATGTTTTGTGGTTCTGTGGAAACAGGTCCTCTACCATCCTTGCCAGAGTGGCTGTGGGAACAGCCCTGTGCTTCCTTTCAACACCAGACCCAGGCTGGGCGCTGGATTCCTTGCCTAATTTCCTCCCGGATGAGGAAAGGTGTTGTAGCAATGAAGGTGATGGAATTGGCTTTTCAACATGGCTTTGGCTGGGAAAGGGAGGACAAATGCATAGTTAATCATCTGCTCCTCCCAGAAAGTAAACAAACAAGGAAGCAAAGGGGGCCGATCCCGGCACCAACCCCTGGGAACCAGCTCCGGAGCCTTCAGCCCATTCCTTAATGATCTCAGCTGCAAAGACTTCACAGTTCCTGGAAGAGGGGGAAGAAGCAGCAGCTCGGGGTATCTGGCAATCATGAGGCCTCGGGTTGGATGCCCAGTACTGCAGGAGCAAGGCTTGGTGATGGATGCATGTACGTCAACCCGGCACTCCGAAGTTCAAGGACGTCTGTGACTACATAAGGAGTTCAAGGACAGCTTGGGACCCGTGAGACTGTTTCCAAAATAAGAAAAATGGTAGAGGGGGGGGGGTGTCACAGGGACATGGCTTTGTGGTAAAACCACTAGCTTCTGAAGCCCCATGACTGAATTTGACCCCCAGAACCAGCACCAGAACCCAGACACTGTAATCTCCTACGGCAAGATGGGAGGTAGGGGCTGCAGAACCTCTGTGAGGCTCAGAGGTGGGCTAGCCTGGAGTGGTGGAGAACCTCTGTGAGGCTCAGAGGTGGGCTAGCCTGGAGTGGTG